GGATATCAGTCCTTCCTCCAGGCCAGAAGAGCTGCTCCTTAGTTAAGAAACATGAATCAGCCACAGACGCCTCTGCCAGCTTTTGATGAATTTTTCTGCCACTGGTGCTAATTTCCTGAAAGGCTTTTCTTCCACATTCAGGCCCCCCTCAAAAGCGTTCTTACTCCCTAATGGTAGGAAATTCATAATGATCACCCAGTGGCTCCTTGTTGAGGTCACCATCATGTTCTTCACCAGTGTCTGTGGCTGAAAGAGCTGAGCTGGTTGTGGATGAGTCCTAGACCACAGTTGGAGGGGCCTGGGGTTGGAGTAGTGTCCTACCGGGATTGTTCCCAGATGCACAGATGAGAACCAGGCCCAGAGAGGCAAGTGGCTTGCCTGAGGACACACACAGAAAAATAGGCCCAGACAGGAATATCCAGCTTCCAAATTCAGCCTAAAAGAGGCATGCTGAACTCTGCTCTGTGAGACCATCTGATCTTGAGTTCTTTCGGGGTTCAAATGGGTCTTCCTCCCCTTCCATTTTGCCCCGCAGACCAATAGGCTCAAACCCAACTCCTTGCAGCCATGGAGTTACTGTGATTTTATGGAGTCAGTGGTAATAGGCTAAAGTCCTGTCTGGATTAGCTTTCCATGGAGGGAAGGGAGAGAAAAGGGGCTTCCCCAGCAACACTAGGCCTTGCTTGTGTCCCCATCCTGGACAGGACTCCCCCTTGGGACTTTTCCTGGATCCAGTAGGTAGGGGCTGAGGTCTCCCAGGCTCCTGGAGAGGAGTGATGAGTCCCCAGGCTGGGTTGGGTGGGGGAGCTCTCAGCCAGAGTTCCCCAGGGGCCATCTGGTAGGTAGAGGAGGGGAAGGGTCAGAGCTGGCCTGCTTTTGTCAAAAGCTCCTTGGAACAATAGGACATCTAGGAGTCTCTCTCAACTTCTACCTCCTCTTTCCTCATCTGTCACCAAGTCCTGTCCATCAGCTTTATGAACTTGCTTGCTCTCTTCCACGAAGGACTCACTGTCTAGTTTTGCATTGTCCTGCCCTGGTGTCCCCACTTCTATTCTCTCTTCCTTCAGTTTGTCTATACTTTGTAATCTTAGAGATCTTTCTGGAAGATAAGTCTAACCAGGACATGTCCCTCCCATGGCTCCCCAGTGCCTCAAGGTAGAGTCCATGCTCCCTCCCAGGCTTATAGGGCTGGTGTTCCAGCTCTGGGCCCTGCTTCCCCTGCCTTTCTGCATGGGCCACACATACACAGAGCTGCTAGGATGGAACAGGCTAATTCCAATCTCCAGGCCTTTGCTCCTGTTGTGCCTTCTAGCTGACGTAGCTTCCCCTCCCTCTCTGCCTCCAGACCTTCCACTCTTTCCTACTGGTCCTTTCACGTGCTCCTCCAGAAGACTTCTCTGACTCACCACCTCACCCACGTTAGGTCAGCATCTCCACCGTGCTCTCACAGCCTTTCCAGCTGACCCTTTCTATCATCCCCCTCCAAGGTCTCAGTGGCCAGACAACGGGGATGAGAAACAAATCCATGCTTACTGCCATCTTCTGAGTACCCGGGTACTTCTCTTTTCCAGCCTGAACAGCCTCAGCACCGCCCTGGCTCTGTGTCCATTTGCCTGTCTGGGTGTGTGTCCACCTGCTTCTGTTTCTTCCCTCTACCCCTTGACTTTCTTGGCGGATTGTTCCACTGTCTCTTTCATCTGCTTCTGTTTCTCTCCTCATGCTTTAATATACTTCCACCTCATTTCATGAAGGACTCAAGGTGGTGTCTTTGTCACTGCATCCCTTCCTCCCTCAATCCCCATAACCCAATTTCTCGCAGGCACTCTCTTTCCACACAGTCAATGAATTTGGTATGTGGAAGGAGAGTTCAGAAGGAGAGTTCTGACTCCTTTAGAAGAGTGATATCCTCTCACTCACAGGAAATCTGGCCCTTCGGGGCACATAGCAGGTCGCCAGCCCCTTCCTACTAAGACCAGACATGAGAGGGGTGGGGGCAGAGGGCACAGAGTAAAGGCCACCCTGAAACCCATGCCACTGTACCCAGTACTGGTCAGGGACCTCAGCACCTCTAACCCAGCCCCTTGTGGCACTGATGGGGGAAACAGCAGATCTCTTTGGTCAACCCCATTTGTGAAACTTCTTCCTGAACCCTCCCCCCAACTGCTTCCTCTCTTCTAGAAACTTCAGCCTCATGTAACATGTCTTGGGCATAGGCTTACCTTGTCCCTCAGGACAGGGCTCCAGTGTGTCCAGCTGGGCTGGGAAGGGGTCAGTTGGAGAAGGAGAAGCCTTGAAGTGGTGGCATCTGACCCCACTGCTCCTCTTTGAGCCCCTCTTTCCTTCACCTGATGCCTCTCTGGACCTCAGAGCTTCTAGTAGCTTGGGGTTCTCGCTAGGCCCCTGGAGTATCTCTCCTGGCAGCCTGTGGGCTTCTGGAAGGCAGGATTGATACCTCTTGGGTCTCCCAAAGCCCATAGGTGGCCAGTCAGGTTGTGCACCGCAGGGACCCAGGAGAGGAAGCCCATTGGCGATGAGCCTGTGGCCCTGCACTGCCCACCCAAACTCCTGCCCACCTTCCTGCCAACGGGGCACCAGCCAGCAAAGGCCTCCACGGCCACCAGCAGGAAACTGCCCTGGGGGCGGCCAGCCCAGGCGGGGCTTTGTTTGGAGAGCGAGAAGCCAGGAGGACCATGAGACCACAAGGGGCTTGGAAGAGCCCGCCCCTGCCCAGAGCGTTTGTGTCGCCTGCCTGAGACTGGGGCGGCTCGGCCTCACCGCGCCTCCTGCCGCCGGCCCGACGGACGACTACTGGCTGGCGCCTGGGCACAGGCGGTCAGGAGCGCTGGAGCCCTTACTGGGAGAGAGGCCCGGTTCCCCTCGCCCCCACCCCCAGCGGCTGCGAGTTTCAGCTCCCGGCGCCCTCGCGTCCGCCCGGGCTCTGGCCCCGCGCCAGGCGACTGATCCTTCACTGCCTTTGGCGGGAGGCGGACGGCGCGTCCCCAGAGGCTCCCAGGCCGCTGGCGCTGTCTGCCGGGCAAGGAGGGCGGCGGCAGCGCTGCGGGGGACTGCGGTCAGCGCGGGCACCACCCACACGCCGAGTCTCCCGCACTAATTGGCCCTCAGCTGCCTTGGTAGTAATTGCTGCTTCGCGGGGCGGGGGCAGGCGGGGTGTCGGAGGAGAGCAAGGGGCTCCGCTTCTGCAGCTGGGGAGTCAGGCTCAGCCTGAGCTGAGCCGTGGGGCTGGCAGGAGACGCGTGTCCACGCTGTTCCAAGAGCTGGCTTTACACCGGTGCGTCTTCTTCCTCTTGGCGGCCCTGGCACACAGCGATGAACCCAGGGAAAAGCCACTCAAGTGTCTTAGGGCCTTCACCAAGATCCAGTCAGTTCTGTGAACCGCTCCCTGCGGAGTGGAGCGCCGTGGAGCCTGGCAGGGACTTTAGGAACGCCTTTGGGTGGGCCACCGGAGACTTCAGTGCAGCCGGGAAGCGGAGGTGGAGACAGAGCAGTAGGTAGCTCTCCCCGCCTCCCTCTTCCATCAGGAAGAGGACAGGGTGGTGTGGGGCTGGAGCTGTGGGAGGCAGGGGGCCAGTCAACCATCCAGGCTGTCCACTGGAATCCCTCCATGCTCAAATTCTGAGATAAGGTCCTAGGGTTTCCCTGGGAGTCGTTTATGATCCTGGCATCTGGTGGGGCCCTGACTGTACCCTAGCTCCTCCTCAGGTTCACTCCCACTGATTTAGGAGACAGTAGCCTGGGGAGTGGGGGTAGGGAGCAGCCTCTGGGCAGGTGGCTCTTTGGAGAAGGTTCCTTCCCCAGATGTGTGAGAGTCTGAGGATGGAACTGAGGGACCCTCACAAGCAGGCCTGGACTGACCTGCAGTCAGACCTTTGGACCTCCAGGTCAGGGTATCCTGTAGGCACTGGGATGAATCAAGCCCAGCTGGTCCCTGCTGAGTTTCTGCACAGGTTACCCAGGATCGCTTTCCAGGGGGTCCCAGAGAGCATCCAGCCTCTCACTCAGGGTCCCATTGAACTGCTCTTTGGTTAACTATCCCCTGGCTAGAGGGGGGCAGGGATGTTCTGCTGGTTATGCCTCCCAGAGAGTGGAGCTGCCACATGTCCTCTGGGGCCATCCTCTCTCAGGGATTGTTCCAGGTTTGGATGGAGGTGGCAGGGTGAGTCAGACAAGGCTGTATCAAATTTCCATTCTTCCACAACTAGGTAATGACCTTGAGCAAGACCTTTTATGTCTTGTGTCCCAGTTGCCTCATCTATAATATAGGGTAATAAAATCCATGACAGGGTTGTTGTGAACATGAATCTGCTTGAAAGGGGCTTTGTCCCCCTCTTCCAACCACCCCTTTGTTTTGGGGGCTTAGATGCTGGAGGAATGAGTGCCCCTGACCCCACAGGTCTGCAGCTTCTAGTTGCCTCAGAGACAACTCAGGAACCCTTAGGAATAGAGTCTAATCAACATTGTAGTTTGGGACATAAAACCTATGGGATGCTACACTATTGTTCGTAGCAGCATTATTCACAATAGCCAAAAGGTAGAAACAACCCAAATGTCCATCAACAAATAAATGGATAAACAAAATATGTTATTTACATACAATGGAATATTATTCAGTTTAAAAAGGTATGAAATTCTGATACATGCTACAATATGGATGAATTTTGAAGACATTATGCTAAGGGAAATAAGCCAGACACAAAAGGACAAATATTGTATGACTCCACTTCTATGAGGTACCTGAGATAGTCAAATTCATAGGGTGGAAAGTAGAATAGTGGGTACCAGTGTTTGGAAATGAGGGGAAATAGGCAGTTAATTAAGGGATGCAGGGTTTCAGTTTGGGATGATGAAAAAGTTCTGGAGATGTATGGTGTGATGGTTACATAACAACATGAATGTACTTAATGCTATTAAACTGGACATTTAAATATGGTTGAAATGGTAAATATTATGTTATGTATATTTTACCACCAAAAAACCAACAGCAAACTAAACTGAACCAAAAAAACCCTATGGGACAGGCTGCGGTATGCCCAGGTCGAGTTGCAGGAGAGGCCAGAGTGAGGAGTCTGGATGTAGCACCAAGACCTACACCAATGGACAAGCGAGGATGGAGTATGGATATCCTGAGGTCCCTTCTGAGATAATGAAGAAAAAAGCCAGGTATATTGCAATCCAGGCAACTTTGCCACAGCTCCCTTTGTCTGAATGTAGCACAGCAGGCTGGGCCCAACAAGAGGCAGGCAGCAACACACCCTCTCTCTGATGGCTCAAATCAAGATGTCCTCTGCTTCACTCAAGCATTTTACAGATGGAGAAATTCAGGTCAATTCAACATGTTTTTATTGAGGACCATCCCTGTGTCCAGGCTTTGGAGGGGTTTCATGGGAGGTGAGTATGCAAGGAGGAGAAGACCCTAAGCTATCAAAGCTTCACCCCACATAACAAATAATCTGACCAAGGCCTCAGGCCAATGTAATGTGAACAGGCACAAGGCTGAGCAGGATGAAAGGTCAATGACAAGCTGGGTGCAATGGTAAGGGCAGTGGCAGTCTGGGTGGATTTCCCCAAAGAAATCTAAACAAAGGGTTCAAGTAGACTTTGAAGGGTGGGAGGATTTGGAGAAGGAAGAGTTGGGTTTGTCCTGAGGCTGGGTGGCTGGGCACAATGGAGCAGTAATAGAACCTGGCCTAACCTGCTAGAATCAGTGAGACAGGGGGGCATCATGGGATGTCAGGCTGAAGAGTGTAGTGCAGAGCCCCAAACAACTGGCTTAGGCTCTAGCTCTGGCCTGGAGATAGTAGGGAGTCTCTGCAGGTCCTACATTGGGGAAGGCAGGACGCTTGTCCCAGATGTGTCCATGGCCAGTCTCCCCAAAGCTTAGGTGGTGGGGAAATACCTTAGACGCCCTCCTGCACAGCTCCTCTCAAAAGTGCCTCTGCTTTTCAGGTCCTTAATGCTGGTATAGTCTCATCCAAAAGGCCATCTTCTCCTCCTTGAGCTTCACACCCACCCTCGTGATGAAATCCAACTGCAGGTACTTCTCCTCCTCGTTATAGCGTGGCCAGTAAGGCAGCTTCCCACCATTGGGGTTTCTGCCCAGAAGGAAGAAGGAGAGAGGGTTGTTCATGCTCGTCTTCACCCTGCCTCCTTCTCTTACCCTGCCCTTATTCACCTTCCCTCTGGAAGTTGGAGTCCAAGAATTCCTTAACAGGGATGATATTTAGATCTTTAAGAAATAATAGAAGAGTGTGTGGTGGCAAAAGGAAACAGGCAGAGGGAAGAGTATGTGCAAAGGGTTGGAGGTATGAAAGACCAGGGCTTTTGGAGGAAGCACAAGTATAAGTTTACAGAAAAACATGGGCTGTGTCAAGAGGATGGCTGTGGATAGAAGATGACCCAGTAAAGATTTTGAAAATTTTCATGCCAACGGGCTAAGGGGTGGGGACTTTGGGGGCAGAGGGAAGCCAGGAAGAGTTTTAAACAGGTGAGTGACTTGGTCAGATAGTATTTCAGAAAGATCTTTTGAGTATCATAAGAGGGGTGGAGAGAAAGGATAGAGAATGTGGAGATGGGAAACCAGTCACAAGGCTAGCCAAAGCTCAGCCCAGATGTCACCTCTGCCAGGAAGCCACTCCTGCCCATCTGAGCTCGGTCAGACACCTCCTCTGTGCTCTCATAGTACCTTCTTCCCCAGTACAGCAACTTAATGTTTTCATTATAACATTAACAAGCTGCTGAAGGATGTGGGCCATGTTTGCAAGATTCTTGAATTCCAGCTCCCAGTATAGGGCTGGGTGAAAAACAGTGCATGATGAATGACTTGGGTTGAAAGCTTGAGTGAATGAAGAGTGTAGTCATGGGACAGAGAGGGACACATCCTAGGGACATTTAGGACCTGGTCACTGGCTAGGAAAAGGTGAGGGAGAAGGTGCAGTTTGCTTAGGCTAATCATGTATTTCCTATGGGACACACAGGGACAAATACCTGAAGCAGCTGGCCAATGGGTCTAGCGTTGGGCAGGAAGACTGCCCAGATGTGTTGGGGGACCAGACTCACCCTGTACGGGCAAAGTTGGCCCAGTATTTCATCATCTGGAGGCTCAGTGCTTTCTCCTCAACCGTGGAATGGCCTGGGGTCAGAATAAGATGTGACATTTGGAACAGAGCATGGGGTGGTAACATCCCACCCTTCTCCTTCCACTATTTCTTCCATACTGGGAGGCTTTCATTTCCAGGAACATTCTAGATTAGGAACTGCCTAGACCCTTAGGGTCAGCCAATGGAGAGGTGAGTCCGGATACAAAGGTGGGGAGACTAGACACCCAGTGAGGGTGTCAGGTGGGGCTGTAGCACCTTTGGAGAAGGGATTCCCAAAGATGAAGTGGATCTCATCCCCGTGGTCTGCCCCATCAGTGCAGGGCTTGATGATGATGCTGGTGGGAGTGTGGTGCTCAAACTCATACAGGAAGACAGGGAAGCCAGCATCTAGGAATAGGGAAACTGAGGAGGGCTGCAGGAAAAGTCCTGGGCTGGGATTCTCATCCACCCCACACATCCCACCCACCTGCATCAAGCAGGGAAAAGTGCTTGGGCTCCAGAATCTCAGGAGCAGATTTGAGTCCTGTCTACACTACTCATCAGTCCCATGTCCTGGGGCAAGTCACTCACTCAACAGTCTCTGAGCTGCAATTCCTCATCTGCAGATGGGGATTGTAGCAGGATCACAGACCCTTCCTGTTCCTTCTCTGAACAGTTCTTCTCTTGGGCATTTAAGGTTCTTTGGTGTCTGTGCTCTCCAGCCCCACCTTTGAACTCTCACCCATGTGTTCTCCAAGCCCCATTCAGCCTGGACAGGATCTCCAATGTGCCCCCTCAGCCTGTCCTCCCAGCCAGGAAGCCTTCCCTGACCACCCTAGGCTATGTCCTCTGGGCTGGACTCTGCCCTGCCCTCCTTCTCCCTTTCTCTCTCAGTTGACAGCCCACTGCTTTTTCTATGCCATCTTGGAATCCTATACCAGCCCAGAGGTGCAAGAAGGTGGTTGAGCAGTTGGTAAGCAGCATCAGTAGACAGAGTGTGGCCACTCTTGGGGACCCCACATACCTCTGTGGTGGTGGGCAGCCTGTAGTGTGGAGTACACAAAGATCGCATCCCCAGCTAGGTCCATTAAACGGTTTCTTAACATTTTCCAGTCACGGTCATCAATGTCACCCAGGTACTCCTCTATCACCAGTGGTAACTGCTCTTTGGTGATATTCTGGGTGGGGAATTCATACCCACCCTGAGGCCTGGGGTGCCAGCTGAGCAGAAATGCGCACACTAGTGACATACACTCAGCATCCTCAGGAGTTTTTGGTCTGGGAGAGTGGGGGAGAGAGGGGAACTTCTGGGAAGATCTTTGCTGATTCTTACCCCTGTGTTTAGACTGCATGAGAACTGCCTGCCATGACCCTGAGGCCAGTGCGGTGGCGGGGGTGGGGGGGGTGGGGGGGGTGGGGGGGGTGAGGGGAACCTGCTCACCAGCAGCCATCTGATCCCATACCAAACTCCAAGCCCCACCAAAAGGGGAGTTAGCTTTGTCCAACCAAACTGAGCACCCCTAACAGCATGGCTCCTCACCAACAGGGTACTGGTTCTCCAGAGCAGCTTGGTGATGATTCCTTTTCTCATTATGAACTGGTTTAGTGAGATCTTCATGATCTGCCCACAATATAAGGACCCAGGTGTGAGTTAGGCCCAAACATCAGGAGGGATTCCAGCCAGAGCTACACCAGGCTCCAAGGCTCTCACCCATCTAAGTGGTGAGTTCTCAGAGCACACAGCCCGGAAAGGGCCCATGACTATTTCCTGCCCTCCTGTTCTCAACCTGTCCATCACTACCACCCAGGTCAGAGCTGAAGTGGGGACTGGGGACAACTATCCTGACCTAGGAGCAGTTGTGGGGGTGGGGATAGGGGGCAGGATTTGCAGCTGCCTGGAGGCTAAACAGTGGATAGGATGATACATCCAAACTATGATCTGAAGATTTGGGGTCCTCAAACCTCCAAGAGGCCAATACTTCTCTTCCTCCCATCATTTCTGGCCAGCGCTTACTGCTCCGGGACTGCAGGATGTACCCAAGCACTTGGACATCCCCAGAAGAGCCAATGGGATCTGATCTCATGCACAGTACTACCCAAGAGGAATCCTCTGCTACTCCCGCTGGGGTGGGCACCCCTCCTATTGACTTACAAAAGGTAAGAGCCAACTGAACTCCAGGTTGTTGACACCCAGAAGATAGGGCACAGGTGCAACTTGCCCCTGGCTCAGGAGCACTGCTGGGTCATCTGGGAACACCACACCATCCACCACCGGGCTCATGAACCACACAACCTACAAGGCAAGGGGCATTTCCAAATAGTCCTCCCACATATCCTCCCAGGATCCCTGTAGCCTAGGGTTCCCAGCTCAGCAGGTCCCCATCCAGAGATTTCTTTATCCATAGGCCCTTTGGGAAAAGCTGGGCTTCAGTGACCCCTTGGAGGGCAGGAGATGCTCACCCCCAGGTATCTACTTTCCTCACCTCTTGACAATCTTTGCTAAATGTCACCTTCTGAATGAAGCTTTCTTTGTCCCTCCTATTTAAAATTCTATGCCTTACTTACCCTGCTCCATTTGTCACTATTCACTTTCCTTCTAAAGAGGTAAATGAGTTATTTATGTATAGTGATTACTGCCTGTCTCCACTGGAACATCAGTCCTACTCGGGAAGGAATCTTGGTCTGAACAGTTCACTTAGTATCCTGAATGCCTGGCACATAGGAGGAGGTGTTCAATAAATACTGTATCACAGAATAGGGCCTGCTCACCTCCTGAGGGTCTTTCTGGGAGTTCAGGTGGAAGAATCCCTGTAGGGGAGAGGAGGAAACTAGAGTTAAAGAAAGTCTCCCCACTGTGCTCCTTAGACAGGGTCCCTGGGGGCAGCCGGGTATCAGGTCAGGTAGGTGGCTTACAGGTGGCCAGGTGAAGGAGCTAGAAGGAAGTTTTACCTACCATCTTCTTAGATACATGCATCACCTCAGCCCCTGATCGTGCCCTCAGGCAGTCTACCAGAATCCGTGTGCTGTTGTAGGTACAGCCTGCCAGGCGGGCAACTGTCTGTGGAGAAGAGGTGTTCAGGCCCATCCTGCCCCTTCTTGCTGAGTCCTGGGGGAGAGGAGACACCCACCTTGGCCACCTTCAGCGGGTCAGGAGTGATGAAGGCTCTGAGTGCTGCGGTGCCGCTCTGGGAAATGGCCCGATGAAAGAGACCGCGGGCTAGGGGTGACATCATCTGCAGGGGTGGGGAGTGTGGTACCCATGAGAGGCACAAGTAGAAGTCATTTGGGCAGTTTTGGGTGCCTTTCTGGCCAGGGCTGGGCAGCGTGAAGGGGCCCAAAGAGTGCAGGCAGCTTGGGAGGGAGTCAAGAGTCCTGGGTTGGAGTCCTGGACCTACAGCCGGTGCCTTCATGCCTGTGGGCCCCCCTATCCTGGCCCCTGCAATGGGCCCCAGCAGTTCCAGAGGGGATCTGAGCTTGTGGGAAGGGTTCTGCTGGTGTAGGAAAGAGACTCTCTATGCTTCTGGGTTAGAAATGGGGGGGGGGGGTGTTGGTTCCTATGGCCCCTTTAACCTGTATTGACAGTTCTTAACTTTCTTTGCTGCCCAAGTTGGAAGAGCAACTATAACTGGGACCCCTCATCTTGTCTCTTGGACACTTCAGACTTCATGTGCCCCAAACTTGTTCTAGCTGGTTCCCATCTGAGTGGCATCCCTCACACTACACCATCCATCCAGCCCCAGGGGCCTTTCCTATCATCTCTGCTCACCCCTCCACCCAGCTGCCCTAGTCCTGTCCATCTGGCTTCCTGCATCCCTCTTCAGCTACCTTCTACTTTCCAGTCTTCTTGCTTCTGTTTCAGAGGCAGGCCTCATCCTCTCTTCTAAGATATACCCCACCTCCACTCCCAGATGGCCTCCAGGCCTCTCCTCCTGCTTCTTCCTAACTCAGTTCCAGCACACTGAGCCATCTCTCTAAATGCACTTCTGGCTGTGTCACTTCTCTGCTTCAAATCTTTCCCTGTTCTCCAATGTATTTTGAATGAAGCTGCTTAACCTTTCTGGACTTCAATTTATCCATCTGCACAATGGAGAAAACTTCTCTTTTGGTAGAACTGTAGAAAGAGGATGTTTCTATTTCTGGATTGTTGAGGGAATTGAATGAATATACATACAGTGCTTGGAAGAGTGTTTGACACACAGAAAGTGCTTGAGCGTTTGAGTATTATTACTGTGGCGGGTAAAGCCCTGTGTTATGTGGTCCCAGCTCACCTCCCTAACCTGTGTCCCACAGGGTGTACCTGACCTTACACCTACACTCCAGGCGCACTCCAGGTCAGTGGTCGCCCGAGTCTCCAACCCAGGCCCCTGACTCCCAGGCTTGGTCTGTGGCCCCAGCCTTGCCCATAAGGCGGATGATGCATTCTGTTCAGGGGATAGAGCTCTGGGGGTAGGTAGGGAGGCAGGAGGTGCTGGGTTATCTTTTTGGCCCACCACGGATTGGTTGAGTATCCCTACTCTCAGCGTTGCCCGCTCTGCTGGCTTGGTTTTCTTATCAGTGCTACCCCTGGATGGAGTAGTACCCTTTGCAGGGGTGAGGGCAAGTCTGTGCACCGGCATGTACCTGTACACACAAATCTGCATAGGTGTGTGTGCAGTGGAGGATGCACTCATGGGAACCCGGGGACCTGCGTCTGTGCTGGGTCTGACCTGGCGCTGCACTTACCAGTCCCGAAATACACATGGCCCCCGAAGACTGGCCAAACAGGGTCACGCAGCGTGGGTCTCCGCCGAAGGCTGCGATGTTCTCTTGTACCCAGCGCAAAGCAGCCACCTGGTCCAGCAGCGCCCAGTTCCCGCGGGCCTGGCTGTCGCCCGTGCTGGACGCGCGGGGCTTATAATCAGGGTCCGGAGCCCCCCGACCGTCTGGTTACTCAGGGCTCCATCCTGGTTCTGCCTGGCCCCACCTCACCCTGCCTGGTCCCTTAGGCACCAGGTCTTGCGACCACACCTCTTTCCCTAGTGTTAGATCCCCCTCTGGCGGCACTTGGGAGTGACCGCCCTCTCCAGAAGAAATTAGGCCCCTCCCCTGCACGCACCTCTTGTAACCACGCCCCCACACCCCCTCCTCTATCCTTCCGCCCAAGTCCCTGGGAAGCCGGACCCCTGATTCCCCCGCTCCGGCCCCCGGCCCCGCCCACCTCAGGAAACCCAGGACGCCAAGCCTGTGCTGCAGAAGCACGAGCACCACTTTCTCGCGAGAGGCCAGCTGCGTGCCATCGTACGTGGAAGCGGAGCCCACGAGGAAGGCACCACCTGGGAACCAGACCATCACCTGGACATGGAAAGCGGAGGCCTGAGCTGGGCGGTGGGGTGCCTGAGTGGGATGGTGCGTGGAAGAGGATGAATACTCACCGGCAACGGAGCGTCCCCACGCGCGCGCACTGGAGCATACACGTTCAGGTACAGACAGTCCTCACTGAAGCGCAGCCACTTGTACTGTTTCCGCGTGTTGAAGTACATGGAGGTGATCTGTCCCCAGGACTCCTGAAGGCACCTGCGGTCACGATGTGAGTTTGGGCCCAACGTGGTGGCCAAAGAAGGGAGAATGGTTGCAAACCCAGGTTCCGCAATTGAGGAAATAGAACCAAAAGCAAAATTTAGGATGCGCGCGCGTGCGTGTGTGTATCTGTGTCCGAATAGCCTCCACTAGCATTAGGGTCCAGGGTGAGTGCAGCGCCAGGTCAGACCCAGGGCAAGATCCACCCCTCTGTCTTGCCCCCGGTCCCAGGAATCTGCCTGGGGAGAGGTTCCATGCTTCTGTTGGAGACCCTTTTGGTGCTGTCAAGCCAGAAACCTGGGTGTCCTGGGATTTCATGCCCCCGTCCTTCAGGCTCTTTTCTGTCTCCCAAACAGCTCTTAAATAGGCCTTCTCCATCCCAGAGATGCTGCCTTGTAAAGGCCATTACCTACACTGGCCAGGACACTGCCCCAGCCTCTTTGACATCGCTTCCAACTCATCCTCCACACCCTGACCGGAGGGATTGACAGAAAACAAAAACCTATTTCACTTCCCTCCTTAAAACCTTCCTGGGCCCCCCTGCGCTCAGGATAAGGTCCAGATTCACCCATACTGACGCAGGCCCTCTCCATCTAGTCTTCCTGGCACTCTTTGCTCTAGATGCCCACGGACCCTTCCTTGTCTCCCATCTCTAAGCCCTTTTGCTTATGTCCCTTCTGCTTAATGTTTTCTCTGCCTGGCAAACTCCTGCTTATGTTTAAGGCTCAGCTAAAGTGGCGCCCCCTCTGCTGGGCACTTCCTGTCTGTGCTTCCCAAAGTTCTATCCACGCTGATTATAGTGCTGGGTTAGAGTTGTTTCGATTGGTTTGGTTGTTATTCTCCCCAAGCAACCATGCACTCCCTAGGGGCAGGGATGGATGTGGATTTGTCTGAGTCCTGGCACTCAGCCCAGTGCCTTGTACCATGTGAACATTTGGTGTACTTGTGGAGCTTGGGCTGTTGGGCCACCTCATCCTTTCTCCCTGCTGTCCCAGCCTGGAGTGTGGCTATTGCCAATAGTTGGGGCTGGGCCCATCTGACTGGCTGCAGGAAAGCCTGTCTATTCTACTCCTTTCTCCACTTGTTCCCTTGCTGCTCTGGCCTGAAGCTAGTCATTATCCAAACTGGCCACTAGTCTTCTTGTCTCCTTAACTACCATCCCACAGTCTGTTGTAAGCCATCCACAAATTCTTCTACCTGTCACTCTGTGTTCCAAACAGCTATTGTCTGACAGCTCATGGCCAACGTTCCAACAACTGACACCTGGACTTCTATGCAATGGGCACCCCAATCTCTAAACCCCTGATCCTCGGGGCTCTAATAATGGTCATCCCCTGTTCTGTCACCTGATCCATGGGATTCCACATAACAATCACAGAAGGTTCAGATGTCTTGGTTTCTCTCACTGGTGGTCAGTGTTCTAACAACTAACACCCCAGTGTTCTACTAATAGCCATTCATGTTCTAACAGTGGATGCCCTGTTCTCAAAGGTTAGACACCCTGGGTGGTGGTTGTAGTTTTTAGATATCAACTGACACCCAGGTTCTCACAGTAGACATTTTTCTAAACCCAGTGCTGTATCCAACTGATTGTTAATGATTGCCACAGAATATTCTGGTTAGTGGGTTACTCAATGATCTGAATAAATAATAAATACACTTGTTCTGGGTAAATTGCCAAGCCTAGTGCTTCAAAGGGCAGTCATTATCTCAACATGCTCATGTGACTCAGGATTTGAGCCCTGTTAGAGGTTGCATTAAGATTCTGGGACTTTGGGGTGCTTGGGTGACTCGGTTGGGTTCAGGTCATGATCTCAGGGTCATGGGATTGAGCCCTGCATGGGGCTCTGTGCTCTCTGCATGTGGAGCCTGCTTAAGATTCTCTCTCTCCCTCTGCCCCTCCCTTGCTCAAGCACTCGTACGTGCGCGCGCGCGCTCTCTCTCTCTCTCTCTCTCTCTCTGTCTGAAAAAGAAAAAATTCTGGGACATTAAAACTGAAACTGAGCCTGTGACTCCCTATCTTGGAGCTCCGTCTGCAGGGAAGGGCTGATGGTGTCATGTGGGCTTGTTCTGGGGCTCAAGCCCCAAGTGAGAGGGAAGAGCTCAGGGTTCACTGGGTATGGTGTGTGTGTGTGTGTGTGTGTGTGTGTGTGTGTGTGTGTGTGTGTG